ATGCATCTAATTATTTAGCCAGAAAGGATGCTGTGAGTTTTTTCTGAGAAAAGCGACAGAATGTCAATTTTTCACTTTCTTCTTGATCAAACACCATNATACTTGATTCGAAGTTTTTTTTTCATATGTATTGCCCAAAAACAGGATTGAATATATATTTTCAAATTTTCAAAATCGTACACGTATGCATCTAATTATTTGGCCAAAAAAGATGTTGTGACTTTTTCTGAGAAAAATGGCAGAATGTCAATTCTGCACATTCTTATTGATCAAACACCATGCATGCATCAATGTACTTGATTTGTTGTTTTCTTTTTCATATGTATTACTAGAAAACAGGGCTTGACTATGTATCTTCAAATTTTAAAAAATGCACATATATGCATCTAATTATTTCACCAAAAGGGATGTTGAATGTCAATTTTTCACATTCTTCTTTATCAAACCCCATGCATGCATCAATGTACTTGATACGAAATTTTCTTTTTCATATATGTTACTAGAAAACAGGGCTTGAATATGTATCTTCAAATTTCAAAAATGCACACATATGCACCAAATTATTTGGCTAAAAGGGATGCTGTGACATTTTCTAAAAAAAGTGATAAAATGTCAATTTTTCACATTCTTCTTGATCAAACACCATGTATGCATCAATGTACTTGATTTGAAATTTTCTTTTTCATATGTATTACCAGAAAATAGTATCTTCAAATTTCCAAAAATGCTCACGTATGCATATAATTATTTGGCCAAAAGGAATGTGGACGCTTTTTGAGAAAAGTGACAGAAAGTCAATTTTTCACATTCTTGATCAAACACCATGCATGCATCGATGTACTTGATTAGAAGTTTTTTTTTTCATATATATTACTAGAAAACAGGGCTTGAATAAATATATATATTCAAATTTTCAAAAATGTACACACGTGCATCTAATTATTTAGCCAAAAGGGAAGCTGTGACTTTTTTGAGAAAAGTAACAAAATGTCAAATTTTCACATTTTTCTTGATCAAACACCATGCATTTATCGATGTACTTGATTCGATGTTTTCTTTTTCATATGTATTACTAGAAAACAAGGCTTGAATGTATATATTCAGATTTTCAAAAATGCACACATATGCATTATTTATTTGGCCAAAAGGGATGCTGTGACTTTTCCAAAGAAAAGTGACCGAATGTCAATATTTCACATTCATCTTAACCAAACACCATGCATGCATCAATGTATTTGATTCAAAGTTTTCTTTTTCATATCTATTACCAGTAAACAAGGCTTGACTATGTATCTTCAAATTTTCAAAAATGCACACGTATGCATCTAATTATTTGGACAAAGGGGATGCTATGACTTTTTCTAAGAAAAGTCACAGAATATCAATTTTTCACATTCTTCTTTTATCAAACACCTTATATGCATCATCTTAAATGATTCAAAGCTAACTTTACATATATATTACCATAAAACGGGACTTGGATTGATATGAGATAATGGCTATACACATTCACATAAGCTCACAAGTGACCAAAGTTTTGTTCTCTTTTTAGTTAAACAAATAGCAAAAGACACCAATTCTCGTTCACACATTATATCAAGCACACAAAATCCATTATTGCAAAGTGCTTATACGTATACTTAAGCACAGTAAATCTTCAAAGGAAAGTTCAAATGTTGCATTAGCAATTAATTTTTTGATTTTTTTTTTCATATATAGAGGAGATTTTGGTTATTTTTACTTCTATTTCGATCATTCATTGCAGGCTAACAAAATTGTGGAACTATTTAAAAAATGATTCAAAAACATAAAAAAGAATCTGTCTCGATCTTTTTTTAGAAATTTCAATGTTGAAATAGTTTGATCTTTCTCCAATGCTTTGAATAATAAACGAATTTGTGAAAGTTTACCTCTTTCTTCTTTCAATTTTCCCTCGACTTTTCCAGTTTGGAGGTTCATTTTTGTGGTAGCGTGTTTTTTAGTTCGAACATATTTTTTACGTTAAAATATGGCTAATTACCATTTAATCCCACTTTATCACAATTTTTCAAAACAATCTCAAAATATAGGGTATTTGTGTAAGTACCCCATTAAAACCTAACCTAGCAATCATATATTATAAAAAACATGTATTGCACGTATACGACTGGATCATAACTCATCCTTTGTTCACTATATGTAAACCCTTTTTAAATCTCGTGAGGAAGTGCTTTTATCAATTTAACTTTAATTTATAAATGATTATATTTTAGATTAAATAATATTTAAATAATGATTTACATACAAATGAGATGTCAAAAAGAGAACATGAAAGATTTTATTTTATTTTTTTTATTTGCTTGAAGAAATTCTGATCCAATTATATGTCACCACATCATGTTATATAAATTATGATGTGAATAATTATTTACATGTAGCACAACGAAAAAAATATTATTAAATAGTCAAACACACGACAAACCTAGCATTCCTGCTTTCTCATATGCTGCTGTGGGTCGGTTTAAACAAAGTATCCATCCACACAAATGGTAAAGATTTATTCAATACTATAGATACTTCCCAAAGTGGATAAAGATTTACCGTAGAGTTTAACTCTACAAAAAATTCTACATGATGCCAAAATGTCATTGAAGATTGTGCTCTAAACTAGTATAT